TTTCAGTTAATTTACATACTCTACTAAGTTAAGTTGTAGTTCACTACTTGAGGACTCAGTCTGAGCCATCCCCAGTTTAGTTTAATTTAATACCTTTTCCATCATAGTTAAGATTCTCTAATCATAAATAAATAAACAAATAAATAAATAAACAAAAAGTTATGTTGTACGCTGTCTCTGAGAAATGGTAATGGAATACTCTTTGGAAGAATTAGTTTTGTGATTGGCTCAGAGGTTGTGTTTCTAATCAGTTGCTAGGTATAAGACACTGGGGAAGGTTAGAATGAAAACTGAAATTACGTTGAATTGTACACACTGAAGACAAATTCCAGCCTTACCTCCCACAGTGTTTGTGTCTGTGTTTACCTATTTAAATCATTAATGTGTGTATCTGCGTATAATTAGTGTTTCTACAGTTACCAGATTTTGTCTTTTATACCATAATATAAATATCAGTGGAATTGGGTAGAAAAATAAAAATATTTTAATATGTGAAGAGATAAAGAAATGTATTAATTAAAATAATATGTGACAATTTGCTGACATCTCCTTGCATATAATGGGTACATGGAGGATGTTGTAACCTTTTCACACAAAGCCAAACGCAAGTATGAACAGAATGGAAACCAGACCCATTTGACCTAGTTCAGTACCTCCAAAATTCAGGTCTCAGATCCATTACCAAATTAAATATTTTTCTGGTTTTCAGAGGCAGTGCTGCTAGTGACTGCTTGGCAAGTTTTACCCTTTTCGGGAAATTCTTAGTGTGGGTGTTTCTGAGCATCTTCATTCTCTCTCAGTTTTCGTTTGTGCTACATTACATCTTCATGTGCTTTCATTGTATTTGTTTCTCACTCTGCCAGTGGAGTATGTTCTGAGGTTAACCTTTGGGTAGACTGCGAGGGTGTCTTTGTAAGGTTCCTTGTGGCAAACCTAGGCCCTACCACTTTCAACTCAATTTGGGTCACAAAGCAAAACAAAGGACTACACTTTATTTGTGCCATAAAACAGACCCCTAAAGTAATTAAAGCTCCTAGTGAGGCAAACACAACTCACATAGCTTAGATAGAGACAGATGAGTTTTTTGCAGACAGGCCTAATTTAGATAATTAGAAAACCAGGTGGTCAGGCATCTGGGCACCTTCTTATTGAAACATAATTCTCTTGAACAATACCTGCACTGATCAGGCCCACCAGACCCAAACTTGGAATGTGGGGTGGCTGGTACAGTCAGTTACAAGGGCCACAAACAAGGCAATAGGGAGTTACCAGAGGCACTAAGGCATGGTGCTCTAAGAGAAAAACCTAACTAAACAGCAACTTTTCCCATTATCTCTAAAATTCCTCATGATGCAAGTAAGCTTAGGAGTTAAATGATAAAAATTGAAACCTATGATTAATAGCTTATAGCCCGCCATGTATCCCATGTAGGTCACAAATCTTACTTAGAAAATAGGTTGCTTAATAATCACTTGAGAATATACATAAAGCTCTCTGCTAACAGCAACACAGTGTATCCTTTCCCTTTAAGGCATCCGTGTCCTCTCTTGAACTAAGTTTGAGCCAATGGCTTGAGAGTAGAAGTTGTAGAAAGATCCTTTAAGAGGAAGCTAAAACAGCTGGAAAATCCTTAGATTTTCCCTTCTTTCTCTGTCGTCTTGTCTAGAATGTGGACTTTTGAGCTGGAGGTGCAGCAGCCTTCTTTTGACCTTGAGGCAACCCTGAAGGTACAAGCCACATGTGGGGACAGAAGAGAATGAAGACAGAAGTAGGCTGTCACCTACTTCTGACACTTTGAGCTGACACCTTGAGCTCCCAGGTCAGCCCTTGACAGTCATCATTCGAATTCACTGACATGAAGGGAAAATGGATCCCTGTTATGCCAAAGCCAGTGGTATTCAGGACTCTATTATCAATAGCAAAAGGCAATTCTTTCCTCTACCCCAACAATTTATCATGAAACTTTTCAAACATATAGCAAGCTAAGTATGTAATTTCTATTGTCAGCCCTGACTTCTCACTTGGACTCTTGGAATACACCTGCCTACTCTACATCTCCACTTGACTCTCTAGTAGGCTCTTCAAACTTAACATATTCATAAATGAATTTCTGGTTCTGCACTATCCCTATCTTGCTTCTTGTCTATCAGTTTCCCCATTTCAGAAATTGACTTCATCTTTCCAGTTTCTTAGAACTAAAACCTAGTGGTTAACCTTGACCCACTCTTTTATTCATACCTAGCATTTAAGTTCACCTGCAAAGCCTTTTTACTCTACCTTTAAAATAAGTGCAGTGTCAGACCACTTATCACTTCTACAGACTGGTTCTGGCACAAATCTTCCTAATCTCACACATGAATCACAGCAATAGCTCCCAACTGGTCTTCAGCTTTCCATCTTCCTTTTCACCCAGCCAAGTCTCAGTCTAGCATCTGAAACAACTTTTTAAAATATAGGTCAGATCCAGTTCCTCTTCTGTTCGAAGCCTCTATTGGCTCCCCTCTCAGAGGTAAAGCAAAGGTCAGCATGATGACTTTCTTCTTCTTCTTCTTATTTTTTTAGTTGGAGTCTCACTCTGTTACCCAGACTGGAGTGCAGTGGCATGCTCATGGCCACCACAGCCTTGACCTGCTGGATTTAGGTGATCTTTCCGCCTCAGCCTTCCAAGTAGCCGGAACTATAGATATGCGTCACCACGCTTGGCTAAGTTTTTGATTTATTGTAGAGATGAGGTCTCGCCAAGTTGCCCAGGCTGGTCTCGAACCCATGGGCTCAGGCAATCCTCTCACCTCGGCCTCCCAAAGTGCTGGGATAATAGGCATGAGCCACTGTGCCCAGACTAACATGATGAATTTCAAAGTCATATGTGATCTGACGCTCAAACTCCTATGGCATTTTCCCCTTCCATTCTTCCTGGTCACCCTTGCTTCAACCACACCAGCTTTATTGCTGGTCTTCACACACACACACTGCACATGCTTCTTCCTCAGGGCTTTAGTACTGCTGTTCTCTCTACTCAGAATGCTTGTCCTCCAGGTATTCCTGAGGCGTGTGTCCCTGCTCATCATTACCCTATTTTTTTTATTAGAAAGGAAAAGTAAATAAGACGGCATTTAAATTGCAACTTCTGATACTCTTACTCTGATTTATCTCCTGAGTACTTATCACTATGCAACACACCATATATTAATACTTATTTTGAGCCGGGCTTGGTGGCTCAGCCTGTAAAACCCGTACCTTGGGAGGCTGAGGTGAGTGAATTGCCTGAGCCTGAAGGTTTGAGACCTGCCCGGGCAACTTGGTGGGACCTCATCTCTACAACAAATCAAAAAATTAGCCGGGTGTGGTAGCGCGTGCCTGTAGTTCCGGCTACTTGGAAGGCTGAGGCGGAAGGATCGGCGGAGCCCAGCAGGTCGAGGTTGCGGTAGCCAGGAGCTGCCACTGCACTCTAATCTGGGCGACAGAGTGAGACTCCAACTCAAAAAAAACAAAAACAAAAACAACTTAATTTGTTTTCTGTCTGTCTCTTACAACCAAAAGGTAGGTTCTTTGGGGAAGGGAACGCTCTGTTTTCTTCACTTCTCTGCCCCCAGTACTAAGAACACTGACTGGGACATAGTACGCATGGATCCTTGTTGAATAAATGAATGAACAAATGAACTGAAGACAGAAGGCCATAGGAAACTGGAGAAAGGGATTCCAGATACAGGTGGGAGATTAGTCTGAGGCAAGAGAAAGGACACCTGTTTGTTGAAATCATCTTACTGGACCCTAGTGTGCTAGTGCTGTGATCTTAGACTTCCTATCCTACAGAATTGCAGTAAATAAATTTCTGGTGTTTATAAACCACCCAGTCTTGGTGGCATTTTTTGTCATAGATGCCCAAATAGACAAAGACATACACATAAACAGAAACCACCCTGCCTTCCATCTTAACAAATCATATATTTAAATACATTCCTGATTCTTTTCATAATGTATCTATTTGTAATAGCAGTAATCATATTTTGGACTTTCTCATAATTTTTTTCAGTTCAGTTTTACACTTGGATTACTGAATTGTCTAAAATCCAAAACACTATCATTTAAAGTTAGCATTTTAGATGTCTGCTTATATTAGTTAGGGTTCCCCTAAACAGACCAACAGGAGATATAGATATAGATTATAGATATAGATATATGAGGGTTGGGCATAGTGGCTCATGCCTGTAAGCCCAGCAATTTGGGAGGACAAGGTGGTGGGACCATTTGATCCAGAAGCAAGACCCTGTCTCTACAGAAAAAAAAAAAAATTAACTGGGCATGGTGGCACCTGCTTATAGGCTTAGGATTGCTTAAGTCCATGAAATCAAGGTTACAGTGAGCTACAATCAGGTCCCTGCATTCCAGCCTGGGCAATGGAGTGAAACTTTGTCTTGGGGGGGGACAGTTATAGATATATGAGAGGGCATTTATTAGGGCAATTGGCTCAAGATTATGGAGACAGGGAAGTTCAGTGACAGGCCTCTGCCTCTGAAGACCAAAAGCCTTAAAACCAGAGAAGCTGGCATATAACTCTCAGTTCAAGACCAAAGGCCCAGGGGGACTGCTGGTGTTAAGACCTGAAGCCCAGAGAACCTGGAGTTCTGGTGTACAAGGGCAGGGGAAAAGTGTCCTAAACTGAGAGAAAGAGAGAGAGAGAGAATATTTGCCTTTCCTCTGCTTTGTGTTCCACTGGATCCCAGCAGGTTGGATGGTCCCCACACACACTGAGGGCGATCTTCCCTACTCAGTCCACTGACTCATACACCAATTTCCTCCGGAAACACCCTTGCAGATACACCCAGAAACAATGCTCTACCAGTTGTTTAGGTATTTCTTGATGAAGTCAGGTTGATATCTAAAATTAATCATCATACCAAGTCACTTCCAGGATCCTCTTTCTTAGTTCTCAAGTATGGTCTGGGGATTCCTGGGGATCTGCAAGGTTAATAATGCATTCATGATAATAATAATAATAATGAGATGAAGATATTGTTTATTTTTTTCAATCTCATTCTCTCACTAGGATAAAGTTTTCTTGAGCCTATATGACCTATGATATCCCAACAGATTTAATACAAAAGCAGATATGAGAATCCAGTCATATTATTTCAAAATAGACATTAGTTTGGAAAAAATGGAACAATGCCACACTTCTCAATATATTTATTCTGCTTTGGACACAATAGTCATTTTAAAAAATGCAATTTCTATTAGCCTATAATTGGTTTATTAAGGTTATTTTAATATAAATTAATACATACATTTAAAAACTTCTCAGTTTCAATCTCAAATGTAATAAATAAGATCAAATGTTAACTTAAATGAAAAAAAGCTCTTTGGAGTACTCAGTAATTTATGTCTAAAGGTATCTTGTGACAAGGAACCTTGAAACCACTGCTGCCCACACTGAACCTGAAACCTCAGGTAGACTTGGCTCATTACTCATCTGCTCAGCCAGGACCTTTATCCTTAAGTCATACTCAGTGACCGAGGACAGCCCTGATATACTGCAGGGACACTTGCACCAAACCAGATCCACATGTGTCCTTGTCCTTCATTTTTCTTCCTTCTAGGTCTAGGCCTATGGTTGTGTGGTCTGGAAATCTTGGGGGTTGGTGGTAAATGTGCCACCATTTTCTGGGACCCTTTAGCTGTCATGGTGGGGCTTAACCACACTCACAAGTTTGGCCCCCTCTGCTATCTGGTCCCACCTCTTCCATCCATGACCTCCAGTTGTGGCTCCCTCTCCCATCAGAAAGTTCTGTGGTCCCCTCCCTCCTGTTACATCCTGGTGCACCTGTTGGTCTCATCTCAAGTCTATAGCATCTGGTGCCAACTGGAGTATTGAACTCAATGTAGTCTCCCTGATGTTAATTAAATAGTATGCTTGCTGCCTGTTCTCACAATTTCTTCATGACTGGGAGTTGTGTAACACCACTAGTTCTCAAAGATTGGATCTTGCCCCAAATTTATAAGCAAAGAAGCTACTAAAGCTACAGTCTAGTGAAGGTAAGAACTGGGACTGAGATCTGAAGAGGGTGTGAAAGAGGAAGCTAGAAGATGTTCTCTTAAGTGACCAGAGAAGGGCCGGTTTTCCACCAAGGTGCACTGTGTCGTGGTGGTTGAGATAACCAGGGCTTGTCTACATGGCTGTGAGACCAGTCCTATGAGTGGTGGTGGGTCCCTGCTTTGTGAAGTGTCAGGCCCTCCTCAGGTACTGTGACTCCATTGGCTCCTGTGAGGGCTGGGCAGATGAACAGTGGGCTGTCGTCAGACCCCAGCCTGAAGAAGGGTCTCAGAGGCCCAGAAAAGGCTGAACGGGGACATGTGTAGATGTGTGATCTGTCCCTCATGTTGTAGAAGGAGACATCTCCAGCTTCATAGTCCAGGAAGACACCCACTCGGCAAAGGGGCTCTGTCAGAAGGAGAGTCCTTTCAGGGGAAGACAGGGCCCAGTATTGGTTTTCAGACATCTCCAGAGTCCAGAAGCCATTCTGAGGAACCAGCAGGCCTTCTCCTTTCCTTTCAACATTGTCTCTGCAAATCCCCACAGTCCACACCATCATGTTTTCGACTTCCACCTCCCAGTAATGCTTCCCCGAAGTGAAGCTTTCTCGGCCCAAGACACAAGGCCGACAGTCAAATCTCTCAGGGTTGTCAGGCACACTCTGCTGGGAGGAGCCCCAACTCACACTTCTCCGGTCCTCTGACAGGAAGAGGTTGGGATGAGCAGTATCTGGGTCCAGGACCACATCAGCTGCAGGGGAAATTCAGGTTTAGGTCTGAGGTCTCCAAAACCCTGGAGACTGTGTGATTCCTGGTCCCCAGAGAGGTCTCAGAGAGCTGGTGGGGCATCCCCATGTGGTGGTCTTTTCCATGAAAGCCCCTTGATCCCAGGCAACTCACACACTGAGAATTACTGAGGCTGTACTTCTGTCTCTCCAGTGACAGGAGCAGTGCCCTCAGACTGAGAAAAAGCGGGGTTCTAAGAAATCCAGAAAGTTTGGCAAATGAGCCAAAATTAATAGTTCCCACTTTTTCTCAGCATTCTAAGATTAGCCTCCTTTTCTAGTCACAACTATCATCTCTGGGACTCCAGGTAGTTGGAAACTTTCCAATTTGGCTTAAACCAGCAAAGAGGCTTTATCTCCTGTTGCCTACCCACCCAATGACTTCCTCAAGAGATCAGTTAGGTGAGTGTCTTACTACATAGTATCCTGGATGGTAAAGGGTCTCTCAATTGGTCCCCTGAATTCCTTTAACAATGGATATATTGTGGCCAGGCCCGGTGGCTCAGTCTGTAATCTCACCACTCTAGGAGGCCTAAGAGAGTGGATTGCCTGAGCCCGCGGGATTGAGGCCAGACCAGGCAACTTGGTGAGACCTCGATTCTACAACAAATCAAAAAAATGAGCCGGGCATGGTAGCGTGCACCTGTAGTTCTAGCTACTTGGAAGGCTAAGGTGGAAGGATAGCCAGAGCCCAGCGGGTCAACACTGGTTAGGCGGTGAATGTGCCACTGCACTCCAGCCTGGGCAACTGAGTGAGACTCCAACTCAAAAAAAAAGGAAAGGAAGAAAAAAAAAACAACTGATATAAATGACTGACAAGGGCACCTTTCAAAAAGTAAAGAAGGAAGAAAAATGTTTCCCCAAGTCAACCTGCTGCTTGAGAGATGTGTGTGGGCAAAGACAAGGAGGAAATATTTCCGTCCAATTTTGCTTCAACAACATGTGTCTGACATCTACAGCTATTACCTCTCTGGGTATAAGAAATGCTCCAGACCCTAGATATTCTGCAGACATCTCACATCTGCATTTATTATTACTTATTCAGTATACCTTTCTATTGTGTTTAAATGATGTCTGGCTGAGTGTGGTTGCTCATGCCTGTAATCCCAGCACTCTGGGAGTTTGAAGCAGGGACTTGGAGACCAGTCTGGGCAACATAGCAAGACCTTGTCTCTACAAACAAATCCAAAAAAATTAACTGGGCATAGTGGTGTATGCCTGTAGTTCCAGTTACTTAGGAGGCTGAGACAGATCCCTGAGTCCAGGAGGTGGAGGCTGTGATGAGCTGTGATCCTGTCACTGAACACCAGGCTAAGTGACAAAGTAAGACCCTGACTCCTTTCCTCAAGTTGTTCTGTCTGATTTTAACAACTTGTGATTATGTGTCAAGTTGATAGTGACCATTTTGAAATTCACCTACAGAGAAAAGGTCCATGTTCCATTAAATCTGGTAAAGCTAATTTCTTTGGTGCTTCAGGCAGAATATGACTAATCATAAAATGTGAAATGTTCATTGGGAATAGGCAGGTGAATTTTGTGCTTTCCTGCTCGCTCGACCCCTGTCCCTTGGCAGGTTATACCCAGAGTATCAGTGTTCTCTTAATATCAGAAAGGCATTTCTGGACAGCTCTTTGTACACTCTTACATCAGGCTAACTGGGAAAACTTATTATCCTTTCCCCCAAGTGAGTCTTTAATTGTGCACAGTCTACACAATTCACAGGTTATAAACAGCTTACAAACTGATCCAAGATCCAAGAGCAACACCTACTGAAAAGTAATTCTTGTGGAGGTCTGCTATGTACTACTATGTATGGTAGAGCTCTGGTAATCACGGATTAAATTTTTCTAAAAGAGAAGGGGACATCAACTTTAGAAATGATTAGGAGCTGGGATTCCCTGACACTACAGTATCATGGTGTATCATTGGTGGGACACTGCCAGTGAACTAATTCCAGCCCCCCGATGTCCTTGCCCAGCCTTGGGCCTGGCTAGTGAGAAGAAAGTTCAGGCTGTCAGCGTCACTCACCTGCATGTAAGAGTGTCCTTCTCCATCCTGCAAGAAACAGATAGGTGAATGTCATGAGATAATGGACAGCTGAGCAGAACACAAACAGTGCATGGAGTAATTCAGGAGAGGGTAAACTTACGCAATTCTTCCTGAAGTTGCTCTGAAAAAGAAACAGAAACAAAATAATGTCTTCAGTAGAAGAACTAAGAGAAGGTGTGTGTGTGTGTTATAAAATGCAGGACCCGTCCCTTCTATGAACATCAACATCCTTCTTTCCCATGCCTAGGGAAGTGTCAGAAACAAGAAATGGTATATGATCTGGTATGTGGCTGGGCAATATCAATACATCTCTAGGCCTGCTTTTGTGTAACAATTTAGAGCTGCATGTAGCCCAGGTGAATGAGTGCAACATTTGTAGAATGGAAGAAAAGATGCTTGGAGAGATTAATTCCTAGGATATGAGTGCCTCAAGCCCTTGCTGCTGCTGCTGTTGCTATGTGTTTCCTCTCTCTCTTCCCCAGGCTGCTGCCTGTCAGAGCTGTGTTCTTTTTGTGGCAGTGAATTGTTCTCCTACTCTTTTACCTTTTATTTGAAGTTCTTTCTCTTTTTCCACACGTTCTTTCTCCAGGTCCTTTAGTGCAATGTCTTTCCTTTCCTGTTCAAACTCCTTTTCTCCTGACAGAATCTTTTTTTCCTTTTGAAGTTTCTTGATCCAATAGACGCTCACAAATATGATAATGATGAGAATAGCCAGGATGAATGACAGTATTATTATGCAGGGAGAAATACTGGGCATAAAAGATTCTGAAAAAGCATCCAAAAAGTCCACTTATTTAGAAACAGAAAATCCAAGTGAGACTTCCCCTTGGAACTCATCTGATGAGCTCCTGCAGGTACTTGCCTTATCAACTTCTCTCTCAGAAACCCCAGATGAAGAAAGCAATGGTGACTCAGCGCTGGCTGACCCCTCAGTAACTGCCACAGCTGGGGCCCAGGAGGTAGAAGAGCAGAAACACCTGCAGTCCCCATGGAAAAGATCAGGATAAGTAGAGCCAACCAGCCATGCTGAATCAGCCACCAGCCTGGTTCAAGCCACCGCTATTCTCCACTGGAATATTGCAAAGCCCTCCACCTTATTCTGCCCTTATCTTCTGCGATTTATTCTCAGTAGAGCAGCCCAAGTGAGATCGTGTGACTTATTTGCTAAAAACCGTTAGTGCTTCCCATATGTCTCAGACAAAAAGCCAGTCTGTTGTGGCCTAAGCTGCTGCATATAATGTGGTCTCTGTGAATTGATCTCCTCTCACTCTGGGCACTCACTCCATTCCTGACACATCATCATCACCTCTTAGGATTCCTTGAAACTGCCAGGCACACTTCTTCCTCAGGCCTTTTGCATATGCTACTCCTTTTACCCGGGTTGCTCAGTCCGCAAGCATCAGCTTGGCTCTTTGCCTTGATTGCTCAATTCCCAACTTTTTTTTTTGAGTTGGAGTCTCACTCTGTTGCCTAGGCTGGAGTGCAGTGACACGTCCATGGCCACTGCAGCCTCGACCTGCTGGGCTCAAGTGATCCTTCCACCTCAACCTTCCAAGTGGCTGGAACTACAGGCACGCACCACCACACCCGGCTAATTTTTTGATTTATTGTAGAGATGAGGTCTTGTCAAGTTGCCCAGGCTGGTCTCGAACCCGTGGGCTCAGGCAATCCTCTCACCTCAGCCTCCCAAAGTGCTGGGATTATAGGTGTGAGCCACTGCACCCAGCTGCTCAATTCCCATCTTTACAATGAAGTCAACCCTCACCATCCTGTTAATAGTCACAGTGCCTCATGTCCTGGCTCTCCCTATTCCCTCCTTGCTTAATTTTTCCTACAGATGTTCATTACCATCTGATATCATATGCAATTAATTAATTATTCAATCATTTGTTTAAGTTGATTATTTCATTTATTGCTCTCCCTCTCTAGAATGTGAAATCCATGAAGGTAGAGATCTTCATACGTTTATTCAATGATTTACCTTCAGTTCTAAAACAGTGTCTTGAACATAGGAAATGGTTGCTGAATGAATTATGAAAGTGTGTAGATAGGAAGGTTCCCCAGATCTGTCCCTTGGAAAATCCCATGGGCAGGAAAGGAGGGCTTCAGCAGACAGGACCACCATGTGTAGATAGTCACCCATCCCTACTACTCTCCATGTTTTGTGATTATTCTTAGTGTTTAAAAATTGCTGCAACACAAGAACCTTATCAGGAAAAAGAAAAAAGATCCAATTTACCTGCAGAGAAGAGGCTACTACTCATGTATTTTGAGACCCTTTGATTTTCCCCTTGTGACACGAATTAGAGGCCTCAGTTTAGCAGTAACTTCCAGCTCCTCAGGGCCCAGGACCCTTCAGTGTACACTCCCAACCCTCATCCTTCTCTCAGTTCCATCTGTGTGCTGAGGATCCCATTTCTACACAATGGTCTCCAGAGGGCAGAGAACAAACCTGGAATGAAAATCACAGTTTCCTTCTCCTGGCCAAGCAGTGTATTGTTGACAGAGCAGGACATGTTTCTCAGGAACTTGTCTCTAATGATCACAGCCGTGGTAACCAGGAAGAGGCCGTCTGTGGCAGCAGTGTTAACCTCCTCCAGGGCTGGCACAGCCTTACCATAGGAGGTTTTCCATGTCGCCAGAGGCTTTGGGTACCAACCTCCAGATGTGCACTCCAGTCGGATGCCCCCGTCCTCATAGCCCTTCATTTCAAGGAGGGGCTTAGAGCCCAGGCCTGGGGAAAGAATGCAGGGCTCAGCTATAAATGCAGTGGTATCTCAGCCTCTACTGCACTTCTTCTGGGAAGGGAGGAAGGAAGGAAGGAAGGAAGGAAGGAAGGAAGGAAGGAAGGAAGGAAGGAAGGAAGGAAGGAAGGAAAAGAGGCAGCGAAGGAACACTGAAACAGGTAGAAGGGGAGGAAGAATGATATAAAGGAATAAAAAATCTTGATATAAGAGAACACCAGGAGACCAATATACCAAATAAATGGTGGGATCTCTAAGATAAAAGGATCACATTGCACACCCTAATGATCTTTCCCCATCAAGGGGAATGGTTAAAAGGACTCAGCCACAAGCAGCCAGCAACCATTGCCTTGCTAGACTCTGGTGTGACCATGTGCTCTTTGAGCTATGACTGTCACCACGCTTCCTGACTTTGGCCCCCTCCCCCACCTTGGGGAGGTGAATCTTCTCTCTCCCTTCTCTTTCTCTCTCTAATTTACTTTTAAATAAACTTGTCTTTCTTTGCCTCTTGGTGTGTTGCAATTCTTTGCATTACTTGGATCTCTGGGTTACTGGTGCACACCTCTGGCACGCCGGCTCTGGTGGTGTTACACCCCTGTGTCTCCATCTATCCACCGTCACCCTATTCGTGCTCTAACAAAACCCATACGTCTTATCACAGCAGCAAGCATCTATCAGTCTGCTATAAATACTTATTGTTAGATTTATTCTGCCAAAGAGTAAGTTTCTCCCTTTCATTGAGTGTGTCCAGTCCAATTTGAAATAGGCATGTTGAGGATTTCACTGTCTAGTCTTAGGGATACCTTCTCAATAGACCTTGGTTTTCTGAAGCTCTAAAATAATATAACAAGAACAGAAACCTGCTAGGCTGACAGAATCCTAAGAAACTTTTTGACCTGAAGACACTGTCCTTTTTGTACAGGGCTTCACATCACCACAGCTATCTACTACCCATTAAAGGTGATAGTTTTGGGGAAAATACACAGAACTAGCCAACAAGGCCAATTCTTATCTAAATTCACAGATGTTTACCTCCATCCAAGTAAATGTAAGTAAATGTAGGTGATTTACTTACATTTCATTAAGAACATTACAAAGATCTGTATGCTCCTGAGATCCTTAAGATAACATTATCACCTCTTAATCGTCAGAAAGTCATCACCACAAATTCCAAGAATCTAGATTCACCCTTACTATATTCTATCTTTAAAAGAATCTCCAGTCGGGCTCGGTGGCTCAGCCTGAAATTCCGCGCTGTGGGAGGCTGAGGTGAGTAGATTGCCTGAGCCTGTGGGTTCAAGACCCACCTGGGCAACTTGGCGAGACTTCATCTCTACAATAAATTAAAAAAATTAGCGTCCACCTGTAATTCTGGCTACTTGGAAGGCTGAGGCGGAAGGATTGGCAGAGCCCAGCGGTCGAGGCTGCAGTGGCCGGTAGTGGTCACTGCACTCCAGTCTGGGTGACAGAGTGAGACTCCAACTCAAAAAAAGAATCTCCAATAAAATCTCCAGGTATGAGAGAGCTGCAAAAGCATGGTCCTGGAAGACCCTTTCGCCATGTCTGATCATGCAAACTTTTTTGAGTAAATCCTTCAGATTATGAAGCTGACAAGCTACCTACGGCACTAATGAGGCACCTTAAGTAATTCCTTTGAAAAGTCTACTCAACAAATTACACCAAAACAGGAAATTAAAGCAGTCACTTAGGTCTAGTGCTTTTTTCTCACTTTAATTATTGTCAAGAGAAAAAACAAAATAACACTAGAGGTACATTTAAAGGCTCATCATAGAAAGCTTGGAGTAGAATAAGAATTCAAATAATGTAGTAAACTAGAAAACAAAGTTCTACAAAATACTCCATGGAGTTCAATATGAGCAAGCATGAGACATAGACTTAAAGATAGAAATCAGCCAGTTAACCAACCTAACAAACAAAAAAAAACAACCAACCAACAAAAAGTCCTATAGCAGCCAGTGCAGAATAGAGAAGGCCAGGAGAAACAACAGTGGGTTTATGCCACATACAAACCATACTCTTCAACCACATCATGCTGCTGTGAACAGTCAGGACACTGGGTGAGGAACCCTCTTTCCATAATATTCTGTTTTAATCAGACACAATGTGTCCACTATGAGTCATAAATATGAGATCTCCTATCTGTTATGATTTGAGGCCCCCTTGGAAGGCAGTGGTCTTCCCAGTCCTCACCTCCACAAGTCTGATGAACTGAAATGCCACCACTGATCCTTCTGCAACTTAAAAGCTTTTCACATCTTCAAATGCTTCTTTTAATGCATAATACACTGACCCCAGAAGTGAGGTCATTCCCTTAGAGTCATTTGTATATTTGTGTGTGTGTGTGTGTGTGTGTGTGTGTGTGTGTGTGTTGGAGTCTCACTCTGTCGCCCAGGCTGGAGTGCAATGACACACTCACAGCCACCACAGCCCTGACCTGCTGGACTCAGGTGATCCTTCCACCTCAGCCTTCCAAGTAG